TCATAATGTTGAATGTATATACCAAGTTTGAGCAAAATCCATTTGTAAACAGCCAAGAAATGGTTGCTTTTTATGATTTTTTAGCACAAAAATGACCGCCATTCGGCCATCTTGAATCAGATTGTAAAACAAAATGATGTGCATCAAGGTCCTATAATGTCCAACGTATATACAAGGTTTGAACAAAATCCATCGGTAAACAACCGGGAAATGCTCGATTTTGATGATTTTTAGCACAAAAATGGCCGCCATTCGGCCATCTTGAATCAGATCATGAGGTGCAAATTGACGTGCATATGTATGATATCATGTATGATGTATGTATGAAGTTTGATTGTGATTGGTCCAGGCATTTCTAAGATACAGGTCCGGACGCACGCACAGACGCACACACGGAGGTCAAAACATAAGTCCCCGTTTTCGGACTGCGTCTGAACGGGGACTAATAAATCTAATCCAGGTGCATTACCTTGATTTCAACTTGATGCCTTTCCTCTGCGTCTTCCATTTCTCTGTCTTTGTTTCGAAGTTCTGCACGGCATTCTTCAAGTTGCCTTTTAGTGATCTCCCAGAATGTGTTAACTTTGTCCCTTTCCAACTGGAAGTAATTTCGCTCTTCTCTTTCACGGTCCAACTCCTCTCGCAGCCTTACAATGTGTTCCTCAAGCTACAACAGAAGTTTTAGTTTAGATTTAGTGAAATGTAAAAAAATATATTCTCTATTCTCTAAATATTAGATAAATTTACTATATTGCTGATCACCTAAATAAGCATGCCAGTTTATATTTCTAACAAACAAAAAAGAAGCAAGTTATAGTTTATTGTATTTTATTGTAATGTGATATCACAGGTCAGGGCTTGTAATTACCATTTTACCATCACAATTAAGGGAAAATCATGATTTTTCAAAGCAGTAAACATAGTTTTAGTTTTTGAGATGGTTTGATACTATTATGTGACATATCTAATGGCATGAATATCATAAGAACTGGTGTTCATCCGAGTTGAAAGAGTAATGAGATTACCAGTATAAAATTTACTGTCAACACAACAGAACCACTCCCTTCATTTTAATAAATAGTATTAACTTTACAATTCAAACTGAAATAAGAGGTTCCTGTTCCTGATTAACATTGGAACATTCATTGTACACTGCGCTTGCCAACTGACTGCATGGTTTGATTCAAATGACATTGAATTTTATAAATGTTCATAAAAATGAAGCAAATAATAATACATGAGGGTTCAAGGAGTGAATTTGTGTTATACAAAATATTTATAAATTTTAAACTGTGATTAAAAACAATTTAAAGTGCCTGTGCAATGCCCACCCACACGCTTCCCATTTTAGATCTGTGCCCCACTGAAGTGGGCAATTATTGATTTTTTTGCTGAAAATGATTACTCGTATCCAAGTAAATTTGAGATATTTCCCATGCTGTAGCCACGCCCACCTATCCTGAAACGGTCGACTGTTTCCGGATTTCCGACTCTCGCCGAAAGTGCGCCACCAAATGCAAAAATATGAGAGGAAGCCATACCCCTGGGCCGTACTTTTATATCACTGTGTCATTCAACGTACAACTGTACTTTTAAACGATATACATTTTTTAATCGGCGTTTCTTTTGTCTATTTTATTTTATTTTTGAGAGAGCGAATTTTTAGAAGTTGTTTTCACAACAAACTTTTATGATGGTTAAACGTTGTGTTGTGGGCGGTTGCAGTAATGCGTATAGTCATAGTGTAAGTATTTCCACGATCCGAAGGTGCAAAATCGGTGGACGAAAGCCGTGAAAATAA